AACTGGACTGTTGCTGTTGCAAAACATCAATCCATTGTCACTATTCATGCGTTTCATAAAAATTCCATTGTTTTCTAACTCTTCCTTTCTTGATCTTCCCCCCATCTTCGGCTGCCAGACATTACGTTGACGCTCACGCCATATACTAATCATCAGTAGCTCGCACCCAAGCACCACAGGGTAACTATTTCGTAATCTACCCCGTTGAACTTTCTACTGTCTACAACTTCATACTAGATGTCTGAGAATGACATCTAGAAATTAATTACTTAAAAAGCACATGCATATTACGTTAGGCAAATGGAATGATGAGAAGATTAAACACTTGAACAAATGGACTGTACTAGGAGAACTTGAAGTTATCTGGTGGTTTTCATTAAACAAAATTAATTTTCTTTCCTGCAACGGTAACTCCAGTAACATTATTTCTATTCCATACTTCTACTGATTGGTTGTTGACGCATTTAGCTTGTTAATTTTCCTATGTGCCAAGGTCATTTTGCTATTATATAGACTGGGTTGCTCTTTTTCGATTTTGCCATCATAATTTTCGGAATATAAAACTTTTTCTGCCCTTCTGTTTTTTTCTTAGGGGACAACTGTTGAAACGTTAAGCCAGTGGTTGAACCACCGAGTTCACACTAGTTCCAATTCGTATTAGGAGAAATCTTAGTCATACCTAATTAGAAAACAACTGTAGGTTTAAATTATAAAATTCAGTTTCGGTTTGGAAAGTACAGAAGGCTGGATGGCTTGCATTTTTGATCTTGCAGTTGGTTTAGCTTTCCTTTAGATGCGTCAACAGATTGAGCTTCAATCACCTGTTGCGTTGGCGAGTTTCATTCATTGACAATTTGGTGAGAAAATCGGTAGTCAGCTGAAAAGTAATTTGTTCTAGGCTTGTGAACTTTTTTAGGATATCTACGTAAATTCTCTAATTTAAGAAGTCAAGAAAAATGAGGGCATGTCAAATGCAAATTTATTATAAAGTCATTTGGAAACTGTGACTATGTCACCATTGGTTCTTCTATAACGATAAAAGAACTAGGTTTAATTTAATCAGTTTCTTTCAATATGCAAGCGTTACGATTCAAGGAATCAAATTAGTTGCGGTTCTTTGAACCCTTTCTAACAGCTCACTGTCTTTTTTTTAAAGGCAAGGGCTGGTTACAATAAATACTCAAGTTTAGGATGAACAAACATTGTATGAAAAGTCAAATATCTCTTAGCATTGATATGTCTAAAGGCTCTACGAATAATATACAAACACGAATATATGACAGCATTCAGAAAAAAATGTAACTCCATAGTTGAAAGAAATGAAATTTTTGACGTTTACATTAATAAGTATGAATAATCAGTATATCAGAAATGGATAGACGAGAGCGGAATTAATACAAATAGTCACTCGGCTATAACGTAGAACTTCATACTTACGTACATCAGTTCAAGTTACCATACCACATTGGCACACAGTTTGATCAGTCAATTCAAAGCCCATAGTAGTAGAGGTAGTAGAAGTATTAGTGGTAATCGAAAAAGATTAATGACCGAAGATGTCATCCAAGAAGTATATCTCAGAGGAATCAATTTTAAAATAGAGAGTGAGAGGAAAAAACGGTCATGAAGAATTCAGAAGATAACATTTTGACAGAAGATAAAGAATGGATACACCTGAGCCATTGCAAACGTTCTTGAACCATGTTATTACAAAGTCTCTAACTATGGATTACCATCATCTCGCGGACTCAATAATATTAAATATGTGTATGTCTATACTTGTACAAAATAAATGTTGAATTGAAAGAAATAGATTTATCATAAAACTAATAAAAATTGCAGAGTTAGCGAAGAAACAACGAAAAAACTAGGAAGAGTCAATTCCTTCAAGATTGTGAGTATGAAACCTAGACCATACGAAGCCTTCTGTGTGGATAATTGTACTGTTTCGTGGTTCCCTACTAATACTGATTCATTGGAATTAAGTAAAGCTTGAAAGGATGAAGCATGTGGTGAGCTTAGGTTTTGATGAAATCCACGAATGTATTAATTTAAAAGAAATAGATAACTGCTTTGTTTCAAACCTTTCCCTGAATATTATTGATGAAAGAGTGTTTATACTTTGCATACATTTCTAATTGCATTACTCAATTACAACTTATTTATTTGAACACATAAACTTTAATGCAAAGGGGTACCTAAATATTTAAGCACCCCACAAACTATTGAATTTGTGAGTGGAGTGGGATACTGCACTGACACTCAAACAGAAACAGGTAGTTTTCTTAGAGGGTCATGCATAGAGTCATTCAGTTAAAAGTCTGATCTACAAGACAGTGCAGCAACCTCAGGAGATGCAGTCCCATAGTAACTATACACGAATAACAGGATCACACGCCATTTGTTCTATCACGATCGTGTAGTACATGTGTACCATTGGTTTGGAATCACGGTTTCCCAACCACTCTTCGTGAATCCTCCGTACACACTAACCCAGTTAAAGCACCAGACATTCTCTCTTCATCCTCTCAAGTTCGTAAACTACTTATATGCCACAAGAATGTAGAGAGTAAGTCCTCTCTGGCAGTGGCTATACACGCGTAGTCATATGAAAGTATTTCGAGAGAGACACAGAGAGAGAGAGAGAGCGATCTTTTTCTAATTTCAACCATACTAGCGCATTTACGGGCGATACCTTTAAGCTACAATAGAGAATTAAATTAATGTTCATTGACTTCTATTACCAATAAAGTCGTCGATATGATATAAACTAACTACATATATTCTGGGGTTTCATCAAGTTTTATTGTCATCTTTAGAAGATTAAACTAATCATAATCATTGAAGTGTATAGATTACTGATAGAGACATTTATTCGCAATGATACAGTGAGTAGTTCAATACTTAAACAATCTACTATGATAGAAGTATTACTTATTCTATACTACTTGTTTCATCCTACTACTAAAAGATTAAACAGTTATTTAGTGATTTCTCAATGTTCACAATAATACCTGAAGAGTAAATATGTCATTTCATGTTGGATAATATATATACATCTTGAACTCTTCCAACTTTTGGCTTTACTTGAGCATTTGTAACTGGTATGCAAATGAACTATAAAACTTTATCACAACCGGTAAATGATGGAATTTATGTTATTGTGACAATACTTAACCTTCATTTTATTAGTTGCATTGTTTAAAATTATCAGTAAATATGAAGTATCGGAGAAAATGATGAACTTTGTATTTTGACAGTTTCTATTGTTTATTTTTTAGAAAAATAATAATGATATTATTCTTTTTTTTCTTTAAATCTATATCTATTGTAAAGATTCTTTAAACAGTATTCTGTTAATCAATCTTCTCACTAACTTATGTTCTTCTATCTTCTGTTCACAAAAAATCATGCCAATTCATTACAAACAAGTGTTGTTTAAATAGAACCACTCAAGGTCATATCAAGGTTAAACATGATGCATGAACGTTTTCCAGTATTTTTGATTGAAGTAACAATAATAATAATAATAACAATCATTAATTAAACTGTAATACTGTATACATTAAAACAAAATGATAATTTCATTTACCTGAACTATTATTATTATTATTATTATTCTTGTGATGAATATTATTTAATAGTTTCATAGATTGTTTGCTTGTTAGACATTTTTGTGAATTGAAACTTGAACAGCGTCGATTTTTCGATGGAGTTTGTAGTAAATCATTTTCATTATTCAATTTATTATGTATTTCTAATGGACTAGAAACTTGACGTCGTCGTTTACCACGATGCGAATAATCTTGATAATAATATTGATCCGAGGATGTAATTGTTGTTGATAGTTTCTGATATGAATTAGTTGAAGAACACAATGAAGGCAATGTAATAGACGATGGTGATGATGATGATGATGATAATGTGAAGGAAATATTCGGTGAATAGGATGATGATTCTACAGGTAGTTGATGACGATGATGGTCATCATCATCATTATCAACATCATTTGAATGATGCATTGAATATGTCAGCGATGGCTGTGAATAAATAAAGCGTTACAGAAAATAAAAATTAAGAATTAGAAAAAATAGTAACGCAAACGAAAAGAAAAAGCACTAACTGACACGCATAGTTCTTCATTGATAATCTTCAACGATGATACATGAAATCAAGGTAGCATTGTAGAAAACAACTTGGTATTTACTGAAAATGATAAAATGATAGTGTTGGGGACGTTAGCTCCCCACAACTCACTTGCAAAAGGCTCTAATTTTCGATTATTTATGTTTTCGCGCGTAAATGAGAACTAGTTAGAACTAACCAACTAATATCTGGAACTCCAAACAAATATCAATCAACACCAAAATCAGCATTTTCAATACAAATGTCAAGACAGTTCTACTGTATGGAGCGGAAACTTGGAGATCTACGAAAGCCATCATCCGGAAGATACAAGTATTTATGAACAGCTGTCTACGCAAAATACTTCTGATTCGTTGGCCAGACACCATCAGCAACAACCGACTGTGGGAGAGAACAAACCAGATTCCAGTGGAGGGGGAAATCAGGAAGAAGCGGTGGAAGTGGATAGGACACACACTGCAAAAAGCACCCAAATGCATCACAAGAGAGGCCCTCACATGGAACCCTCAAGGCAAAAGGAAAAGTGGAAGGTCAAGGAACACATTACGCATAAAAGAATGAACAAAAATTGGACAGAACTGGAAAGGGAAACCCAGGACAGAGTTGGTTGGAGAAAACTGGTGGGCGGCCTATGCTCGATTGGGGGTAACAGGCGTAAGTAATTAAGTAAGTTAGGACTAAACTAAAACATAATACTGGTTGATTAAATTGCTAACTATTGTATTAAGTCGTGTAGGAACAGACAAACTTTCTGGTTGTAATTTAAATACTAATTGTATGTAGTGATAATCAAATTTAGATGTGATGACTTGAAATGAACTTTGACAACCTTATTCATTTTATTTTTATGTTCTTCTGATTCTTAAATTTCCGTATTATTTCAAAATTTTATATGCTTCAATTTCTTTTCAAATCTTATTTCCTGTTTACGCTCTTTATAATTAATAATGTTAAATCATACTGACTTTCTTTCTCGGTTTTCATCTAATCTACTTGTTCTCTGTGTTACACTTGCTATGATGTTGTTTAGTTTGGCAATCTGATTGACACACATTAGTACCAACGTTTACCAAAGTTTATAAATTAACTGATTAAATGAACAATACATGAATCAATATATAATTATTAGGCTACATCATTTAGAACTTTAAATTTATATTACTATTCAATGTCTATTGATCACTTAATTCATTGAAATCATGAATCGATCAATGTTAAACCACCTTTAGAAACTTGAAAGCACTAGACGGCCATTCATCAGCATTGCGTATCCACGACTCCCGATCGCGGGAATCGGACCCACGACTTTCGGTCTTGTACGCGACCGCTTAACCTCTAGACCACAAGAAATACCAGTAATTGATTTTAAATTAAAAGGTTGCGCAAACTACCTCAGATTGATCGGAGTTAGACATTATTAACGTCGTTGGATGCTGGCTCAGTGGTCTAGAGGTCAAGCGCTCACGCACAAGACCAAACGTCTTGGGTTCGATTCTTGCAGGTGACACGAGTCGTGGATGTGCAATGTTGATGATCCTCACTCATACCGGGACGAAATGGCCGTTCAATGGTGTCAAGTATCGAATGATGATCTAACAATCATTGATTCGTGATTACAAAAATAAATATTCTTCTTTCGTTTCTTTTAATTTTTTTAAATCAATCTTAAATTTTAATGAATGTTTCGATTAGTTCATTTTTGAATTAGATTTATCTTATTTTACCTAGAATGATGTATGCTGTTTTTACATTTTTGTAAAGCGGATTGCGTATTCTATGAAATTTAAAATGCTTCATTCATATTGTTTCTATATATATATACATATATTTTTTCCTTTACTCTTTGATATGTAAAAAATTTATTTGAAAAATAACAATTCTACGTGTGGGTTTTACCTATTCATTTATCTTGACATGTAATAATACGTTTTTGAGAAAAAAAACTAAAAATATTTTGTTGCAACATCAACATTGTTTTTATCTCAACGTTTTAATACTCCTACACAGTGTAGACACTAATAATCCCGTTCTTAATTGACTACAGTCAGTCTCTCTCTCTCTCTCTCTCTCTCTCTCTATATATATATATATATATATATATATATATATGTAGGAGTATGCATAAGGTATAGTGATCAATGAATGCTGAGGTTAAGTAAACGGTATTAGGTGAACATAGTGAATTGGTTGAAGTTGTGAATAATCATTGACTAAGATGCGTAGGACATATTTAACGTATAATAAACGGCCGCCTACTTCGGTACGTAAAATTAATTGGAGCAGAATTAAGTTGAAAGAACGGCAAAGGTGACTAGGGTAAAATTTATTCTAAGTAAACGAAGTCAGTGACTGTTATTCTTGGCTATATTAGTAGATTAAAACTGTTTGATTGAGGTCTAAGCAATAATAATGATCAGTGGTTAGAAATGTTAGATGACGTAGTTCGAGATGAATACAAATGAAACATATGAATATACTATACATCTTAATCTAGATCTGGAGTTCCAGTATTCTTCTACATGTGTATTTTCAAACTGTACTCCAAATGTTTAGTCTTTCTCATCATAACTGCGACTGCATTATTTCAATTCTTTAACTGTTCATCGTATGAATTTCACCTCATCTTGCTGATATGATGGATCAACTTAGGTTAATTAATCTGCGCTTACGGAATACCGTGGAACGGCACAGAAGAGTACATAGAAGATCATATTCAAGTACAAAAAAGGTTGAATTAGCGCATATCTGTATCAAGTTCTATACTGATTATGACTGACTGGTATGTGCATCTTAAGTAATTGTCATCGACGAATTACTAGTTTAGTCTTGACTTGATTGACTTCTATACATAAAAATAATGATATTACAATTAATAAACCAGGCAGTACTGGTGAAAGTGTGACTTAGAGTGACCTATCAACTAACAAAGAAACGCTCATTACTTAGAAAACAGTCAACAGCTAAAAGCAATAAAATATCCGTCGGATAATAGCTTTAATCTAAATAATCAACCTTCACATATCGAATTATTCTTTAAAGTGGGAGGAAAAGGTTAAGTTCACTTATTGAAAGTTGGAATAATGTTATGAATTGAAGTTATCATCCACAGAGTTTTCGATATCAAAATAAGATCAACTATGGTGCGAAAATGTTAGGGTTAGATTTTCAGAGTGAAGTTAGAGTTCTGAGATTTATAGTTAAGATTTAGAGTAAGGATTAAGAAAGGAAAGATATTATCTAGCTTCATTCAACACTGCTTAACACATTGAATCATAACAAATACTTTATCATACGATTTAATTTGAAAACACTTATGTTTGATAAATCAACTTTATTACCATCTCCTAAATTCACTTTTCGATTTCTTAATAGAAATTTCTAACTCTATTTCAAACATTTTCATTACCATATAGTGCTTATTTTTATCTCGTTAATAATAATAACATACAAGTTATCTTTTGATAACACTTTAAATTTTGCGCAAAATACATAAGGTGCGCTACCTTAGTTCTAATTGGTTAACTCAAGGCCATCCGTATGTGATACTTTTACCGGCATATCATACAAAAATTTGAAGTTAACTAGTTGTAAAGAGATAATATTTTTTGCATTTATTTAGAATTTTAACATGTAGACTTCATTTCGGATTTTATTAAAAATTCGATGAGTTTTTTAAAATGCATTATGATTAAATCTACTTAAAAGTAGATTTTAAATAAATTAGCCTAATAAAAGTGATAATTTGTTTATTTTCAGTTTTAAGCCCTACTTTTTTCCGAAATTAAATCATGAACAAGTGAATGTTTACATAGATCACACAACATGACTTTTTAAAAGATTATGATATTTTTTTTCGAATTTTCAAATATTAGAGACAGGGTATTGGATTCACTTTTAGTAACTGCGTTAAATGCTACATCGGATTTGAAAATGAGGTGTTTGCGTTGTTTTTCCAGTTGGATATGTTGATTCGTTCGTCAGGTTTGAAAGGTTATTCATCGATGTAAGTCTTCCGATTGCGCTATGGTCGACATCGAGCTCACCAACTTAGTGGCTGAGTTTAAACCGGACGTCACATTTAACAAGAAACACAAGGAAAGGATTTGTTTCTTGCATACTTGACTGTCCGCCCAAAACGGAGTCAGATCGCGGGCCACTAAAGTAGTGAACCCTCTTTCGAGTCTAGTGCATCCACGAAATAAGTGAGCCCGACGTAATAAAATTAATTGAACAAAACACTCAGTGATAACATACGTTCAACTGAGATAATTAATTGTGTGAAACCAGAACTGATTAATTTAATTCTTGTAACATAATCAGAAATCCTACTTCAATGCAAACTAGGAGCTCATAATCATTGAAATCGTGAACCGATCAATGTTAGACCACCATTCAAAACCCAGAGGCACTGGACGGTCGTTTCGACCTAGTATGGGACTCATTAGCAATGCACATCCAGGACTCCCGCTACTTACAGGAGGTCAAACACAGAGTCTCCAGTCATCGTGCGGAACGTTTATCTTCTAAACCACTGAGCCGGTATCTAAAGATGTTAATATCTAACTTCAATCAATCATCGGTTGATTCATGATATCGAAGTAACTCAACAATCTCCACATTTCCATAATGTAAATTATCATGTGCTCACTAGTGAACAGCTTCGTCAGAAAGTTCCTCCAGGTTCTAGTGAGAATTCATGACCAGTGGAGTTCAACCCTGTTCGGATGTGAAGCAGTGCTTACCGAAAGTTTCATAATTAAACTTATACAGTTAAGAAAAGGAAACATTTCACAAACTCTTCAGGTATGAGTAGTTAATCATGAAACGTTAACAAGCATACACATGAAAGTATTTATATGAACAAGGCAAAATCATA